TGAAAAAGGTTGACTGTTAACATCGGAGATCAAGCATAAATCCGTCAAAACCTATTCATCCTTTAGAAAGTACATTTTAAAATTTAAAAATATTTCTCCCGTAGTATGTCTTTAGTAAATATGATATAAATTTAGTATTAAAGAATAATAGTAAATTAGGGTGGCAAAATAACCAATCACCGTGAGTATCTAACAGAATCCCAATCAATTTAGTCTGGAAAATCAAACTAGTAATATTTTTTGGTGGGTTATCCCCGAACCTGAGGATATTGGGTATGGTTCAGTTTTGATATTTTAAGTATCTGCATCGGATCCATCTGAATATGTGCTACAAGTATGGTCAAGATTCACTCTCTTCAACACTCTGATTATCCCTATCTCATCAAGTATTATAAATATTTCTTAAATCCAAATATTGCTCCTTTTCCTAACTTCTATGAATAATATCGGCTTAATTGCAAGTTTGGTCACTCGAATTGCTACAAAATTTCACGTTTGCCACTCAAATTAATTTATTCCATTTATAGTCACTTAAATTAGGTTAACAATCCAAGTTTGGTCACTGGCCGTTAGTCTCCGTTAACTTTTGCTGATGTGGCGGTCAACTCTTATAGTTGACCGTTAAATGAGTGACGTGGCAATTAAAAAATTAATAAAATAATTTAAATTAAATATTTTTATTTTCCACCTAATTATTATAAAAATAAAAATAAATTACTATTGACTAGAAAGAAAAATTGACGATGACTAGGCTCGCCGGTTTCTGAAACAGAGCCGACGCCTCCGCCGTACCTGGGTGGGAGAGACCAGACCAATCGTTCTTCTTCTTCCTTTTAGGAACCTCCGACAACCTAATCGTTTCCTGCAGCTGCGACAACCCAATCGATTCCCCAGACGTCGTTCTTCCTCCGTCGTTTGCCATCGATGTTCGAGCCAGAACATCGTGAAAGCAGAGTGAGGGACCCAAATTGGAATCCAAATTCAAATTCTACTTTCCGCAGGACCTCCATGCCATTCTCCGCGAGGGCATCCCTTTTGGCCCCAATTTCCCCAACTGACGATCTTCCTCCCTCCAGCACCTCCAAATACTACGCGACCTCTCTGCCCTCGATATGGCCCATAAAGCCTTTTGGGCTCGGCTCTCTTTCCTTCCCAGGCATCCCAACAAATTCAATTCTCAGGAAAGGAAGATCAAAACCCCTTTGCATCATCTCTCTCCCAAATCCTAAAACCCTAGAATTTGGATATTGATGCTCGACAAAGGGAGAAGTGAACCTCATTCATTCCCTCCTCAAATTCGACCGTGCAAGTACCCCCATCATCGTCGTTGCAGATTCGCGGCGGCCGCTCGCCCGTCGTCCTCACTTGAGAATTTTCCGACTCACAGCGCCCCTCGACTAAAGCCCTGCGAATCATCATCTCATTGAGGTACGAGTTCGACAAAAATTGGAATGCCCATTGGAGAATCGCTGAAAGCCAGGACCTTTTCTGAATTCTGATTGCCCCCCCTGCTCTTCAGTTTCGATTGAACTCTCAGCTAAGTAGTCTTGTTATATTCCCTTAAAAGTTTGTGATTAGAGATTCCCCTGTTTCGATAACTGTTGTGAAATGATCATCGGCGCCGAGCTAAATTTAGGTACACTATAGGTTTTGGTTTGAATCTGGCTGTCTGAATTCCTTGTTGGTTTGGTTGATCAGTGTCAGGATTCGTATGTGTCATTGAACCATGACGGTGTTGAAGAGATACGTGCTAAGGCTGTTCATATCGCTGAGAGGTCGAGGGCAGAGAGGTCGAGGGAAGGAAAGATAACGCTCTTGCTCTCGTCCCGGTTTATCGAAATTGCTACATCTCAGCCTTGCCCGAAGCTTTTGGGAACTCGATTTTCTTCGCGGACGAGGAGGTGGTCCAGGTCCTAAGCCTCGACATTGCCGGGTTCTTCCGCCAGCTCCAGTTGTTGGGAACGGTAGAGTGGAAAATAAAAATATTTAATTTAAATATTTATAATAATTAGGTGGAAAATAAAAATATTTAATTTAAATTATTTTATTAATTTTTTAATTGCCACGTCACTCATTTAACGGTCAACTATAAGAGTTGACCGCCACATCAGCAAAAGTTAACGGAAACTAACGGCCAGTGACCAAACTTGGACTGTTAACCTAATTTAAGTGACTATAAATGGAATAAATTAATTTGAGTGGCAAACGTGAAATTTTGTAGCAATTCGAGTGACCAAACTTGCAATTAAGCCGAATAATATCTTAACAGAAGTTAAAAGTGATATTGACATTCTAAAAAAACAAAATGAAATTGAATGGAGAAATTTAAATATGATTGTCTGGGGATGGTGCATATTGATTTTCTCAAAATCACATAGGAGTAGATTTTGGTATGTCATTCCCGCCTACTTTTGCTCACGAGGATGGTTTCGATTTTAAGATCGTTGGTTGGGAATGATATATAAAAACCTCACACAAACCCGTTGTAGTCCCTAGCGTAAATAAACTAGAGGAAAATTAATATAGAACCCAACTACCTACAAATGAAGTCAACATGCTAAAATTATATACTCAAATCTTGATTGTAGCTAAGCGCGACATCGAATCTAGTTCTAATATAAATTAGTAAAATGCGGATCAGTCTCACCAATCCGCTGTAGCATTGCAAATTATTCATCTCCGGGTGCGATGTAAGTTTCCCATTCCTACCTAGCTAGGGTGGATTAAACTTACCGGGTTCGACTCCCGGCAGCGGAATTTTTACTTTTTTTTGTTAGTAACACTTTTTCTTGGTTATACGGAAGGAAAGTAACACTTTTATTTGGGCTAAATTACACGTTTGGTCACTCAAATTATATAAATCTTTCATGTTTGCCACCCGAATTACTTTTCTTTCTTATACGCCACTAACTTTACGAATCGTTACATCGTTAGTCACCGGCCGTTACACTCCGTTAAATTTGTCCTACGTGGCAGTCAACTATAAAGTTTGACTGTTAACTAGATGACGTGGAAATTAAAAAAAATTAAAAAAATTAATTTAATTTTCCACCTCATCATTCCACTTACTTTATTTATATGATTGATCCTATTAATTATTTAATACAAATTAATTATATTAAAAAAATAATTATGAACGACATTGAGGAGGAGGAATCTCTCCAGCTATGACAAGTGCCTCTCCCACGACCAAGCCCGCAAGGTCGCGGCTGGGGCTCAACAACCTGTTATGGAATGGGACTGGGATTTGCCCCGCACCCGCGAAGGGTTCTACCGATTCAAAGGTTCGTTGATGGTTGAAGTGGTCCGAGGCAGAGCATTCGCTTCCCTTACGGATGTGATCCGGATGGAGACATCGAGCCCCGATTTGGTGGAGTGCACGGATGAACACAGACGCCAAAAGCACCGACCAGAGCACCACAATCGTTGGCGTCCTGTTCTGCCGCCCCATCAAACCTTCAAGAACGGGTACAAATGGAGTATAACCCAGAACGCGAAGAACACTTTCCCGAACAATGGCCCCCAAGCCTCGTAGCCTTTGTTCAACGCGTCGGAGAACCCTGCCACCACCCCGACAATGTTCACGATCAAGAGGGTCGTCGGAGGGATGAGAACCGTCGTCCATTTCACCATGTAGAGCTCTCCAAACTCGGCGTCCTCTGCCGCCTTGGTCGTGACCGTGAAGTTTGTGTTGATTCCGGCTAGCATTTTCAGGAAGCCTTGGAATACGGCGAAGAGATGTGCGGATACGCCACCGATCACCCAGAATTGCTCGTTGCGCCATAGATCCTCGATGCTCACCCCGCTCCATCGCAGCTCCAGAACCGCGGTCAGGATGATGGACATGAAGAGGCCCAGGAAGAGCACGCTCGCCAGGTTCGACAGCTGCAATCAGTTCATCAGTCACTCTCTTACCATTGAATTGAGAACTAGCCATGGTAATCACTGTAAATTCAAATCATTGACTCCCCTGTTCAGTGGCGGAGCCAGGATTTCAAACTACCCCTGTCCTTTATTCAGAATATATATAATATTTTATAAATATAATTAAAATTAATAATATCTTAATAATTCATTCTCAGAGAAACAAAAAACTGACTAATACAATTATTGTTTCATAAATAACTAGGATGAGTTTTCATATTATGAAAAAAATATAAAATACATTCATTATTTACACCATAATATCGTGATAATACTTAACGAACTGTTGTAAAATGATAGTGTCATATAATTTAATTATTTTTTGTGAATTAATGAACAAGTAATAAGTCATGTTGTAATGTTAAAATATCCTTATGTTACTTGTAAGTGATTAATTCAATCTGTACAAATATATGTGGGGTTATTTTTTTCCTCTCCAAAAGTTGCCCCTGTCCCGGGACAGGGGCAAACACCCCTGCCTCCGCCTCTGCCCCTGTTTATAAATCCTTTCATAACCCATGTAGTAACGCGTTTATAAGTAGATTTGACTTAGTAAAAAGACACGTTCTTTTATTATTTATTTTCCTTGGTAATAAAGTTATTTTTAATATAATTAATTTTTATTAAATAATTAATAGGATCAATCATATAAATAAAGTAAGTGGAATGATGAGGTGGAAAATTAAATTAATTTTTTTATTTTTTTTTAATTTCCACGTCATCTAGTTAACAGTCAAACTTTATAGTTGACTGCCACGTAGGACAAATTTAACGGAGTGTAACGGCCGGTGACTAACGATGCAACGATTTGTAAAGTTAGTGGCGTATAAGAAAGAAAAATAATTTGGGTGGCAAACATGAAAGATTTATATAATTTGAGTGACCAAACGTGTAATTTAGCCCTTTTATTTGTCTAGGGGTTGTTGAAACGCTAATGGGGCCTTCATATAACCGATCCAGAGAACCTCGGCCCAAGGAAATCCGTATCAAGTCCTTAAACAATCGCAATTCACGGGCCCATCCGTTCTTCCTCCCTGAAACCCTGCCATGCCGGAGTCGTGCCCATCGACGAGTGAATGCATCGCAGTCGCCGGTGTCTCTGCAGTACCTCGCCTGCCTTGCAAGCACGCAACTTCTCCAATCAGCTCGCCTTCTCGGCTCTTCCCCGCCCTCCAGCCCAACCGCTTTCTACTCCTAATTTCTACTCGTACGACCAGCTCTTGGAAACCTGCCTGCAGCGATGCAGGCAAGCCAAAGCCCACCACCAGTTCGACGAAACGCCTCACAGAGTCTCCCCGATTTCGACAGCCGGGAAACTCGTCCACGGCTACGGTATCAAGCTTGGGGTATCGTCAGAAGGGCGTCTAGGAAACGCCATCCTCGATCTTTATACCAAGTGCGGCGATGTGGACTCCGCGGAGAAGGCATTTGACTGGCTTGAGAGCAGGGATGTCTCGGCCTGGAACTCTATTTTATTGCTTTATTCGAAGAAGGCCGCTTCGTTCTCGGTCGTGAGATGTTTTGGGTTGTTGTGGAACGAAGGGGTTGCTCCCAATGAGTTCACTTTTGCTATTGCATTGTCTGCTTGTGCGAGACTGGCCAATGTGGATTGTGGCAGACAAGTTCACAACAATCTGTTGAAGATGGGAATGGAATCGAACTGCTTCTCCCAGGGTGCTCTTATCGACATGTATGCAAAGAGTAATCAAATGGCTGAAGCTCGAAGAGTGTTTGACGCAGCACTGGGTAAGGATACTGTGTCTTGGACATCGTTGATAGCTGGCTACGTGCAATCTGGTTTACCTGGAGAGGCAACAAAAGTCTTTGAAGAGATGCAAAGAAGTGGGATGGAACCTGACCAAGTGGCACTCATCACTGTCATGAATGCATATGTCAGTTTAGGAAAGCTTGAGGATGCTTCTAAGTTGTTCTTCCAGCTGTCTAACCCAAATGTTGTAGCTTGGAATGTGATTATGTCAGGGCATGCTAAGCGAGGCTATGAAGTTGAAGCTGTTGACTTTTTCAGAAACATGAGAAGTTCTGGTGTCAAATCCACTAGGTCCACATTGGGAAGCATATTGAGTGCAATCGGGAACTTGGCTGCTGTTGATTTTGGCTTGCTAGTTCATGGGGAAGCAATTAAACAAGGACTGTACACTAATGTCTATGTTGGAAGTTCTCTGATTAGCATGTATGGCAAGTGTGCAAAACCAGCAGCAGCTAAGAAGGTTTTTGATGATCTAGAAGTGCAAAATCTCGTCTTGTGGAACGCAATGCTTGGAGGTTATGCCCAAAATGGCTATGCTTATGAAGTTTTGGAATTGTTCTTTAACATGAACAGCTATGGATTTCACCCTGATGAATTCACATTCACCAGCATCTTGAGTGCTTGTGCTTGCCTCGAATTTCTAGAAGTGGGTCGCCAGTTGCATTCCGTTATCATTAAGAACAAACTGGCACCAAATTTATTTGTGGGGAATGCACTGGTAGATATGTATGCTAAATCTGGGAACCTTCACGATGCGAGGCAACAATTTGAGCTAGTCAAGAACAAAGACAATGTCTCTTGGAATGCAATAATTGTTGGCTATGTGCAGGAAGAGAATGAGATCGAGGCATTCAATTTGTTCCGTAGAATGAATGCCCTCGAGTACATTATCCCCGACGAGTTCTCCCTCGCAAGCATTCTGAGTGCTTGTGCGAAAGTCAGAGGCCTTGACCAAGGCAAACAGGTGCACTGTCTCTCAATGAAAACCGGTCTAGAAACAGGTTTATATGCTGGAAGCTCCCTTATCGACATGTATGTCAAGTGTGGGAACCTAGACTCTGCTCACAGGATTCTTGCTTCCATGCCTAAATGGAGTGTGGTCTCTCTTAATGCTCTGATTGCAGGATATGCTCCATCTAATTTAGAGCAAGCGATTCTCCTGCTTCGGAAAATTCAAGCTGAGGGACTAAAACTCTCTGAAGTTACTTTCGCAACCATTCTAGATGCTTGCAAGGGGCCAGAAAAGTTAGATATAGGTAGTCAAATCCACTGCCTGGTTGTGAAGACTGGGCTTCCACTGGATGACGAGTTTTTGGCCGTCTCTCTACTAACCATGTACATGAGTGGTCAAAGGAAAAGAGAAGGATGCCTTCTCTTCTCGGAACTCTCTGGCCTTAGAAGTACTATCTTTTGGACTGCATTGATTTCAGGGCTTACTCAAAATGATTCCAGTGAAGAGGCTCTCCAATTTTACCAAAAAATGCACGCTTCCAATTTCTTACCAGACCAAGCAGTATTTGTCTGTGTCCTGAAAGCTTGTGCTCTTCTATCATCCGTGAGAGATGGTGCAGTGATCCATGCACTCATCTTCCAAACTGGGTTTGACTCAGATGAGATGACGTGTAGTGCTCTTGTCGACATGTATGCCAAATGTGGGGATGTGGAGAGCTCAATGCAGGTATTTGAAGAAATGGGTGGTAGTAAAGGAAATGTGATCTCGTGGAACTCCATGATAGTTGGATTGGCCAAAAATGGATATGCAGAAGATGCTTTACGTGTTTTCTGGGACATGACGAAGAACTTGAACAATGTTGTAGTGCCTGACGATGTCACTTTTCTAGGAGTCCTCACTGCATGTAGCCACGCAGGAATGGTGTCGGAAGGTCGTCAGATCTTCAACCTGATGGTCAACCAGTACGAGATTCAACCGAGAATCGACCATTGTGCATGCATGGTTGATCTTTTAGGGAGATGGGGGTTTCTCGAAGAAGCTGAAGAGTTCATCAGCACGTTTAACTTGGAATCTGATGCGAAGATTTGGGCTACAATGCTTGGAGCTTGCAGGACCCATGGTGACGAAGGCAGGGGCCAACGTGCTGCTGAGAAACTCATCGAGCTCGAACCACAGAATTCATCCCCTTATGTTCTTCTTTCCAACATTCATGCGGCGTCTGGGAACTGGGACGAGGTTAGGAGTCTCCGAAGGTCAATGAAGGAGAAAGGAGTGAAGAAGTTGCCCGGGTGTAGCTGGATAACGGTGGGACAGACGACGAGCTTCTTCGTTGCCGGAGAGATCTCTCATTCTCGTGCTGGTGATATTGGTTCTGCACTGAGAGATTTGATGGCCTTGATGAAAGATTTGTGCGATATTGATTCGTTTTACAATGTTGAAGACTTGAGTAGCGGTTGATTAAATTGAAATGGCAAATTCAGTTCCATTTTCACTTATCATTTTACTTTGCATACTACTGCCTGAAGGTTGTTGCTTCAGCAGTGGCTGCCATGCTTGTAAGATATTTAGAAGAGAGGCTTTCTTGCAGAAATTATTCTTTTTATTTTTTCTGGAGGATGCTATGCACCACTAACTCTTAACTAATAATCGAGTAAGGCATGGAGCCACCAATAGAGTGATACAAAAGCCAACGACCAACATCGAAATTCTTCACTTCCCAGATACTATCTGCTTAAGATTAACCTCTGAATGGATATATGACACTCAGAGTTTGCAATCCTGAGTCAGAAGGGAGCAGTGGCTGCTTTGCCGCATTGGCATTTAAGCAATGGATAATTCAATGTAACCACTTAACTTTTACATTTTATCTTCGTAAGTACCATGAATTCAAACTTGATAAATTTAGTTTTCTTATGATTGATAGAGCTTGCTTGATACTTACCTAATATGAATCTCGTACGTATCATTCGGTTAAGATTAAGGGGTCGTTTGGAGAACGGGATTTAGTGCATGGATTCATTGAATCCGTAGATATTGTAAAAAGTTATGTTTTTTTTTTGCTTTTTGTATTGTGGATTTTAGATTTAGAGATTTCAAATCTCTAAAAAATCTACGGATATCAAATCTTTGATAATCAGAGAGATTCTATATCTTGATTCGTGATAGTTTTTTCCTCCTACTTTTCTCTTTCTTTTATTTATTTACCATATAAATATATTTATCAACGAATTTTTAATATTTTCTCGAACCACATAATTTTATATTAAGGATAAACATGTTATTTAATATAAAATAAATTTTTTATTTTCATTGAATGTTAACAATCACAGTTACCAAACAATAAATATTTTAAAATCTATTTTCAACAATCCGAAGAGTTAGAATCTTTATATTGTTGACAATCTATAGATTTAAACTCATATTCTCCAAACGACCCCTAAGTCTGGGAACACCGATCCATGCATAATCTAATCTCAATCTGTCACATCAACGCCCCTTTTCTCTTCTGGTAAATCTTTATTTTTTTCAATTTTTAATTTTTAACGGACGATTTCTCTCTCGTTTTAAGTCGGAATTCAAAAAAATTATGCACAGATAGATCATATTAATTATGCTCTTCAAAATGATATCTACTTTGATATATTTTTGGAACAAAAAATTTTGAGCCATTTTTTACCAGTCTATACCATGATTGTATTGATTGGTATTAAAAAGAGCATACTATATGGTACGAAAGATACCACCCAAATACTAGTGTGATATAGTATGGTAAATTTTGGTACAATAGTTTTTTCACCAATAAATTTTTGGATTCAATAGATCATGATTAATTCATTCATTTTGTGCAAAAAAATTTCGAAAACGACTTATAAACGAAGGAGAGACCATATGGCATGGAGTTGGTAACGAGATGTATGAAAAAAAATTCTAAAAAAGTATTGAAAATGAATCTCATTTTGTAGAGCACAACAAACTCGTTCCGTCTGTGCAAAAAAATTTGAAATCCGAGTTAGAATGAATAAGATATGATCTTATTAAGAAAATTAGGGAAAATAAAAAGCTTTTAATTCTCAACCCTTACATCTGCAGCCCACTTTAAAGTAAGGGGTCTAGATTTAGTTATTCATTTTAAGCACGCTAAGGTTATACACTCTAACATAAGTCATTAAGTCAAGCATGATTAATGAATGCATAGACAATTAAATTTTTATCCCATCTCTGGGGGAGATAATCAATTGAAAAATATAAGCACCTAAGCGTTGTAACGAGGGATGAGATAGCATGCCTACCCATAAAAGGGTTGGAAAAATGACACCCCCTATTAATTATAGGTTTTTAAGGTAATTAATTTGTGTTGCATTTAATAATCTGTATGAATTAAAGACACATATTAATTACTTTCCTTTTTTTCAGTGCACTGGTAGTTGTATCAGTGCACTGGTAGTTGTGTACAGGTGCAATGGTAGATGTATCACTGCATTGGTAGTTCCAAAAAAGGAACGTAATTAATATGAGTTCAGTATACAGGTGCAATGGTAGTTGTATCAGTACAATGGTAGTTAAAAAAAGGAATGTAATTAAGATGAGTTTTTAATTTCCAAAGATTATTAAATGCAACATGAATTTAATACAAAAAATAACTATAATTAATAGGGGTGTCATTTTTCCAACCCCTTACAAGGGTTAGCATGCTAACCGATCCCTTGTAACGAGTGTAATTAGTTGCCTTCCTCATTAGTTGCCTGCATATCATTTGCTACTTTAAAACTTGCCTAAATATTCTCCTACTACATTTACATCTTTGAGATCTCAATGTATGGGTTTAGTCATTTTAATAATTTGATTAGTATACTTTGTTTTGAAAACACTAAATTCAAACCCACTAAAATTTAGAATCCTAACAATTTGTTTATGATAAGATTAGATAAGATGAACTAAACATTTAACTAAAAATATCCAACACAAAAAAATGATATTATCCTGCACCATAAAAGGAAAATATTATATAGCAATTAAAATTTCAAGCTAATAAACCAAAGCATAAACATGAAAACGTATAGAAGTTGTTATTGGATCTTGATGAATTATTTCTTTTTTCTGTGTAAAAAGGGGCGCTAATGACCGCTCCAGATCTTAATTAAAAATAAGACGAGGGGTTTGAACCCCAATAATATTATAATACGGCCAGTAGTTCAAGGACGAATGAAGATCAATCAAATGCTCGGCCACAGACATGCTATGGCCTAAAGAAGAGAGGTAGTTAGCAACAATATTCCCCTCTCGAAACACATGAACTATGGTGACCTGCCAATCAAGTTCCAAAAGTTTCCGTGCTGTCGTCACAAGGACATAATGTAGGTGTTGCTCCGCTATTGCCTGAAGTAGTTGGATGACTGTAATATAGTCAGTTTGTACCACCAACTTTCTAACCCCCTCATTCCAAGCTAACTGTATAAAGTGAACAATTCTTGTCAACTCGGATCGAGTGATGGATCCTCCTCCCATATTGGCCATGAATGCTCGAACCAACCAGGCATCCTCGCTATGAATAACGATGCCCGCTTCAGTACTCCCCGTCGAAAGAATGACAGACTCGTCAGTGTTAAGACATGTCCAACCATGAGGTGGTGGTGTCAAGAAAATGCATCGTCTGCTGAGGTATATTTGTTCGCCAAAACCATTCTTCTTCTTTTCATAGGCCCACACGATCTGTTTGCTGCAAATGACTAGCCTCAAGTTGGATTTTTGTCATTTCCTCTAGCGTGCTTTCAAATACGAGTTGGTTTCTATTCTTCCAAAGAAGCCAGCAGACCCTGCAAACAACGATGAGTTTACAACGTAGCTACGCCCTGCCAAGTATTGCAATAGCCATCTCTCAATGTTTGTCTAGAAGAAGGTTTCATCCGACTCATCTTCAAGGTAACCTACCTAGACTGCAAACAGGGCATGTGGCCGACAAAGTGAGATGACGCCTGAGTCTCTCGACATTCATGAGTAAACTCTGGTGGACAGTAAGCCAAAAGAAGGTTCGGATCCGCTGAGTTGTGGGTACGCCGCACTACTCTCCATATCGGGTGTGAGCCTCTCGGCCGATCTTCCTCGTCAGTAAGGTCGTAGGCTGTTTGCAGTGAGAACTTGCCGGAAGGAGTGAATTTCCAAAGTGGAATGTCGGGGCTAGCTTTCTTTGGGATTGGGTGAAGCTGAACCTGCTGCACTACCTCATGAGAAGGAAGGCATTCAAGTATGGAAGGTTCCATTCTTGGTCATATCCGCCACTAAGAGAGACTTAGCTTCTGGAGGCAAATTAGTTGTCAAGTCTGTCAATGGTGGTCCATCTTCAAGCCATCTATCAACCCAGAAAAGGGTTTGTCTTCAACTCCTTAAATTCCATAGTGTGGCCTTCCGAATATGATGAATAATACGAGTTACCCCCTCCCATTAGTTTCACATTCTACCTGACATTCTTGGTCGCCAGCCTTCATCGGAATGTTGTAAGTACTTAGCTCGAATTACACGAGTGAGAACACTGAATTTGCACATAATTTTGCACCTCATTTCTTGATTGTTTAGCTTGTGTTTATCCTACTTTGGCCTATTTTACGCTAGGTTGTGTTCCTTTGTCACATTTCAGGTCCTAGCACGTAAGGTGAAGCATAGGTGGAAGTTTCAAGTCAATCAGAGATCAATTGGCAACTTGGGAGAAGAAACTTACGTATGACCCGAAGAATAATGGATTTCTATCTCATTTTATGGACAAATAATCATGTAAGCTTGTCATGAAAATAAAGAGTTTGAGACTACAAGCATCTGAGATCAAATGACACCTGAATCAGAGGTCAAACAAGCTCAAACGGAGCTTAGGAGTGCATGCTGGAAAATGTGAATGGGCTACGCACGGCCGTGTAAGGTTTCCAGATAGTTTGCATGACCAAAACCTCAATTTTCACGACCGTGCAAGTAGGGGGTGCGAATTCCAGTGGGTATAAAAGCTCCTTTGCGATTTTAGGAGAGGAGGGCTGGGTTTTGGATCCCAAACACCCAAGGGACGAACCAAAGAGAGAGAGAGAGAGAGAGGGCGATCTATAGCCATTATTGGATCTATTTTGGATTATTCTTCACCATTGAAGCTCAAGGAACAAGTCTAGACATGAAGATTGAAGATCTGGAAAGTTATGCTACAATCTCTCTCTTCTCTATGGGGTAACTTCTCTTCACTTAGGTTTGAGGAACCCCAGTTCCATGTGTTAGGATCTTTCTTATTTGAATCTTTGGATACTATACTGGTTTATTATAATCGATCGAGGCAAGTTTATCAAGTCAATTGAATTATGATAAAATTCTCTTGATTTCTGCTTTGACCTAATATAGATAGAATCTGATTAGGTTGATAGAGCTTCTTCAATTGAGAGTTTTACAAAACATAAGCATATATCCTAATAGCAAGGGTTAGGCTTGGA